CTGTCTTTTTCTTAAGAAGAACTCTACCCTGCCACAGCCCTCTAGGTGTCTGTCTTTTTCTTAAGAAGAACTCTACCCTGCCACAGCCCTCTAGGTGTCTGTCTTTTTCTTAAGAAGAACTCTACCCTGCCACAGCCCTCTAGGTGTCTGTCTTTTTCTTAAGAAGAACTCTACCCTGCCACAGCCCTCTAGGTGTCTGTCTTTTTCTTAAGAAGAACTCTACCCTGCCACAGCCCTCTAGGTGTCTGTCTTTTTCTTAAGAAGAACTCTACCCTGCCACAGCCCTCTAGGTGTCTGTCTTTTTCTTAAGAAGAACTCTACCCTGCCACAGCCCTCTAGGTGTCTGTCTTTTTCTTAAGAAGAACTCTACCCTGCCACAGCCCTCTAGGTGTCTGTCTTTTTCTTAAGAAGAACTCTACCCTGCCACAGCCCTCTAGGTGTCTGTCTTTTTCTTAAGAAGAACTCTACCCTGCCACAGCCCTCTTTGGAAAAATGTACTGTATTGTAATGAGAGACTATTGTTTATCAAGTGATCATATGGTCTAAAAATAAAGAAAAGCTTTATTTTTATTCTTCCAGGAAAGCACTACATGAGGCATTACCTGTACTGTATTATTATAACAATTTACTGTATATGGATAACTGATTCAGGGCTGTCCAGTGAGCTTCTGTTTACATTCAGTGGGTAACATCAAATTACCTTTCATTATATCTAGTACTGTACATACGGAGTAAAATAAAAATAACAATTATACCTTGAGTTTGATTTGGTTTCTTGTCCAGATGTACAATCTGTAGTAGCAATGGGATTTTGTCGTAGAGGAGGCTGAGCTTCCTTTCTACGCAGTGCAGGAGACGAACGCGGGGAAGAGAGTGGGGAGTTCCGTGTGTCCAGCACGGTCAACCCCGGATGAGGACGGCAAGCGCGCTGCTTAATTGTCCCGGCATTTTCATTTGCAAATGGCAGGGATTCAGAGTCTGTACTGGAGGTAGACTGAAGAAGGAGAAAACATATTATTACAATACTCCCAATGTTATTACTGTAAGAGTATTCCTCTATGTAACCAAAAATGGTCATAGCCCCTTTCCTACAAAAAAGTATAATACCTGTACTGTATGTACAGAAAACTCTTCATTACACACAAAATACTGATAAATTACAAAGTTGCCTATTAAATGTACCACATTTTATAATGGGCTAAATTAACTTTGTGTCTTTAGTAAAAATAATTACAGATATTCTGAGATCTTTTCTTAACCCCCCAGCCTAATTAAACTAACCAGTGAATATTGTCTCTAATCAAATCACATATGAGCAGTTGATTTTAATCCTTATCAAACCTCCCTTTCTACCAGACACACTTAATGTGAAAAAAAATTCAATGAAAACAACTCCACAATATGATAAAGCAAGTGTTGGTTTGTCTGGGATCGACTCCTTCAAATATTAAAAAGACATTTTAACCACAAAAAATTATATATATCAGTTACCTTAAAACTAGCATTGGAATCGTTTCGCCTTGGCCGAAACCCCGACGAAACGTCGTCTTCCGATGAAGTTGTAGAAGTCTGTGAAGTAGCTAAGGAATCGCTGGTAATAGATGAAGTCGTTATTGTCGAACTGGCCGTAATACGTGTAGAACTGGCCATTGTCACGCACGTCAATGGAGGTGGCGGTGGAGGAAAGTCGTCTGGGAGGTGCTGATGATTTGCACTGTCGGGAGGTGCGGGAGGTGGGGGCAGATCCGGAGTGACGTCGGGTTGTAAATTGTTCTTGATGCCCATGTACCCGTACGACAGACCCCGTCGCAGATACCCGTACTGACTCTCTTGTGATGCTGCCTCTTTTGAAGTTTCACTTATAGAGTTTGAGCGGCGAGGGGGAGGCGGAGGAATTTTCTTGGGAGTTCCCTGTGGAGTGTTATTAGAACTGCCCGTATTTGGACTCGAATTATAAATCTTCTCGGAATTTTGACGATTTAGGCTTTTCAAATTTAGCTCCTTTATGTTTAAGTCTTTCATGTTGATTTCTTCTGTCTGAGACGGTTTCTTTAGATTCATCCCATCTTTAATAAACTGTGGCACCTCGTGAACGTCCACTCGGGTTTTTGCCGTGACTTTGGCAACCGGTCGGAGTTTATTGGCGGTGCGAGGTCTGGGTAATGTTCCGCCGCCCTCGTAATTATTGGCATACTCGTTCGTCGGAGTGATGTCGCCGTCGTCCATCGATCGCTGAGGATGCGACGGACCCATTGCCGTTGCCGGGAAAGGTCTTGGCGGTAGACTGCCGAGAGACATTGGCCCTTGGACGTACGGCAGTCTACTCTCTGGGTGGAACGTTTGATATGTGCCATAAATTGGCTCTTCTAAGCTCTCGATACTTCGTCCTCTGCCTCCTGGCCTCACCTGAACGGCAACCAAATCTGGCCGGTATTGGACGTGGCCGGGCCCGGGGAGAGGATGGGCTGGAACGTTAGGATGTTTGGATCCTGGAGGAGAGGGACCCTGTGGAGCACCAAATTGGTTGGATGGGTGAAATGGTCCAGTCTGTTGCGCCATAGGATGGACGTGTGCTTGAGGGGGAGGCATGGGAGCGTACTGAACGCCCGGAGCGTAGTGAGTCGGTACCCCGTAATGAACTCCGGGCTCTGCGGGGCCGCTCGGTCTGTTGTGCTCCCCGTTGCCGTAATGTCCCGGAGGACCCGAGAAAGTGCGGAATTCTGGAACGCTGGCGTACTGATCCCGACCCTCTGAGGCTTCTCGAGAAATCATAATTTCGTGAGTTCCGTAATGAGACTGCTGTCTGGGTTCTTGCGTGCTGGTAAATTTCTTTCCGGCCATTATGTCCTTCACTCGTTTAATGGCCAGCATCACCTGAAATAATCCGAGAACTCTTAAGAAACTTCTATAGAGCAAATCTATGTATAAAATATTTTCTATACTTGACTACTTTTATGGAAACTATCATCAACTGTTTTCACCTGCAATGAACACCAACTTATCAGTACAAATTTGGAAACCTAGAATGAGCAAATACTAACATTACAACACTCAAATTACTGTACTGGATTTGGGTTTATTGGCCGTCTGTTCGCGGGAGTTTGAAAATGGTCGGTATTGCACGAGAACGATGTGCTCGCTCTGTGAATTACAAACAACTTACTTTTTTCTGGTGGCCTAACTTGGTAATGCCAATATCTTCCAGGTCCTCCCATGTGAGCTGTGTCATCTGTTCCACAGAGGCATATTTCTGCTGCTTTAGTGAAGCCGTGTATTCTTCGAGGCGTAAAATTGATAGCCAGTCCTCCAGACGACCCTGAGGATATAACGACAATTAATAAAGAGAAATCTCATTTTACTACTGTATTGTAGAACAGTTAGTTTCTACAATAGAGAGTACAACACAGTAGTTACAGCTATACAAAAAGGAGAATATTATTTGCAAAGGTTTCAATTTGACTACAATATTGTACAAACAAAAATCTACATTTTTTTAAGTAATGCCAAATAAAATGTCCCTAAACAGATATACTGTAACTGAAACATAATATTGTACTGTACTGTACTATACAGTACTATACTGTAATGTACTGCACTATACTGTACTGTAATTCTGAAAAAGGTGACTCCTACAGAATGAAGGTGAAGGACAACTTTGAAGATAACTGACCAAAGCTGTGTATGGAGTTTGTACACAAACATATACTGTTCCTAAATGGGGCAGCCTTGTTCACTGCACTTAATGCAGACCCTCTTTGGACACTCCCCGAGGTGGCATTGACGGCAAATGTCTAATGTGCACGAGATGTGTAATAATGTACACTACTATATCAGAATCGAGTGCATAAAACCTCTGACAGTTTGCCCGGTGATCCATCCGTGATGCCGGTGCACGTAAGCTCGTGGTGACCTCTTAGGGCACTCCCTGGGGATACTTGAGGATGCAGGCCATATTTGGTTAAGACTGACCAAATATGAGCATCTCAAAACCAAGCACCAAACCTCTTAGGAATCCGATACTTTTAACATTTCTTCGGTCATTCTTTTACACATTTGTCATTTCTCTATAGGACAATCAGTGCACCCAGCTAATTCTTTGGCATGCAATACTGTACTACCTTTATTTATGCTCACATAGTGTATTAAAACTTTCAGTGATAAGTGAATGGGGAGAGGGATAGTGATAAGTTATCACTATCCCCTCCCCATTTAATACATCTTACTAATTAGTCTTTTCAGGAAGGCTTGCCATATTTCACTTCTAATAGCCGGCATTGTCCACACCTAACTTTTGTACTTTTCACGCCCTTCAGAATACCATAAATTGATAAATTATTCTGTCTTTCTAATGTGTTAATTCTATAGAACCAACACTATAGTTATTTGTTCCTTGACCACACCTCCCTTATTACAAATGTTCGCCTAATGGGTTTCTTCTCATACAAGTTGAACCCATCTTACAATAATATTTCAGTGTTGAATAGTCATATAATTTATAAGACTTCCATCTCTACAAACCCTTTAATTATACTACAGATCAGCCTATTAAACTGTTACTTGTTTCAAAGTTTGGTCATCATCAACTGTTTTAAATGTTCCTTACCGGTATAAAGTCTGGCATCCCGTCGGAGATATTCAGTCTGGTTATTTCGGCTTTAAGTTTCTTTCTATGAGCAGGTTTTGTGATGCCAATGGCGTTGAGGTCTTCTGGCGTCATCCGTGAAATAGTAGGCATGTCGTAGCCGGCCGAAATAAATTTCTCGTAGTATTCCTCTAAACGGAGATCTGTCAGCCAAGCTCTTAACACTTCAGAATCCTAAAAGTAAGACAAAGTAAATATTATTACAAAAGTAATTAACTACACAACATAATATAAATTACTCAATTATTAATAGTACTCACAACAGAAATAAAATTAAGAAACAAATAGGATGTTTCAAAACACTTAATTCATTTACAATTACTGGACTGCACTATCCTATTACAATTACAGTAACGTACCATAAAAAACACCAACTATTCGTATGATTAGCAATGAAGGTCACAAAACAATAAGCAATAGACCGAGTACTCAAATACCTAGTAAGGAGATAAATATTATTGTAAAAATTATAAAAAAAACACCTGTTTATTCTCTCGTTGTATACAGTGGCCAGACCCCAACAAACAAACCAATATGTTATTGTGTGTGTGTGTAAACATTGATGACTCCTGTAGTTGCTCTCACATTTGGCATCACTAGTCACAAGCGACTAAGTATGATGAGCAGTGACGGATTAAGCTTAATAGGGGCCTCAGACACAGATCAACTTGGGGCCCCCTACCCTCAAGGTATATATATATATATAGCAAGAACAAAATATACCCAAATTTATCAATGATTTCATCAATATTAAGCTTATGCAAAATAACACATTCAATGTTCATAAGAGACAGAAAATTGAGACGTGCTAGGACATCGTTGAACGAAGTTCATGTTTTATATGCTTCAACTTAAGAGAATGTTTGGATTTAGGGGCCCCTTAGGCCAGTGCCTCATGGTTAATCCGGCCCTGATGATGAGTGAGAGTAGTCATGTAGGGCGAGTGACTCGACAAATGTGTGGACAGTGACGTTAAACAAACGAGAAGACAGTGACAGTAATGATACATGAAGTCCTCAACATAATAAACAACCAGCAGAAAAAAAAATGACTGACAGTAAACAAACAGTGACAGGGTAAACAAACATTGGGTGAAACCGCAGACAAATATGTTAACAGTGACACAGTAGACAACAGTGCACCTGTTGAGGTCACCACAGACACGACCTGCTCCTACAACGCTGCTTAATATGGTTTGTTTACAACGACCGAACGCGCCAGACTTGCGTACGAACGTGGGACTTCACAGTCTCCCAGTGGGGGTAAGAACGACGCAATATACGGAATACTGAGCTTAATATTATCTTAAATTACGGTAAATCTCAAGGACTCTTAAGTATTTCGTGTATATGATATGTAAATATGGCATAGTCAATAACACGGCAATATAATCCCACGCACCATCTCCCTCACAACCATCACCATCTCCTCACCCCGTGCCCTACCGCCAAGGTCCACGGCTCTGAGCAATAGCTATAATAAGCCCGGTGCCGTATCAAAAGACCACTTAAGCAATGCTGCCCACTTGAATATAGACACACGACGCCTACATACCTTGTTCACCACCCCTCACACACCCATCCCTCCCTCAGCCACGGGGAGGACTCGGGCTCGTCTACACTGGGCAAAACATCAGTGTGAAATATAGCAAAACGCACCTAAATTAGAATAAGTTTAATCTTCCCGGTTTATTACCAAAAGAGAGTTTAGAACCAACTGCCCCCACAAAAAAAGAACTTAACCGGATTAAATAATGAATCGGTTGCTTTTAATAGAGATGAGTTGAGTGAGAACTTGTTACCAGGACGTCTTTTATCACAACAAGACGAGGTGACGTCAGCAGCCTCCTATACGTCATGCCCGTCACAAGACGTCTCTCCTGCTGTCACCTGATAAAACGTGACAGCTTCTATCACACTCGCCTAGCCCACGAAGCTACCCAGGCACTGTGATCGACCTTGTTTTGATAATTCATACGGCTCAAAATACCTAAGGCTTTTTCCAGCCCAATGCAGCTAAGCAAGACAACATCATGTATGTCTCGAGAGTTAAGGAGGAATGTCTTTCAAAATGCTCATTGGTTCGTCGTATTTCATTACAACAGAGAGATGAAATTACAGTGCCGGCACGAGGGCTCTTGAGATATTTAACCTGTATCATAAACTTGAGACGATGTGTGTGGTTTTGCGCCGAGAGTTGTGGTAAGTGAAGCCTGGAGTGACAGTCTGGCACACACACCTACCTACTACAGCAGAAACAAGATACAATACTATAACACAAGTGAACAATCAAGCGAGTAATATAATTCATAACAAAAGGTTTATTATCCTTTTCATAACAAATAATAACACGAAATGTCTATTATTTTCGCCAGGTTTTACACTTTCTTCCCACACCCTTGTGAAGCTCAACCACGTCACCCAGACACGTCCTTGTGGTGACAATCAAACTAAGTGTTGTATTAAAACAGACTACGGTAGACGGTGGGCCCTGATAAATGGCACTAAAATACACAACCAGACACATGCCAAGTGAATTACTCGGAGGGTATGGCTCCTTGACACACACACACGATGTACTAGTCGGTTAAACGAATATTCTTTTTATTTACATGTCTAGACCTTTTCTGAAAACACTCCATCAGCTGACACAAAAATCTAGCAGTAATGCTTCCCCGTTTAGTCAGCAAAAAATGTAACCAACCCCCAGTCGAGATCTTAAGTATATATTCTCAGAACTCGACTAACAGCATCCAGGGTCCAGGAAGTGAGTATAAACAATATTGTAAATATAAAATACTTCTCGGGGTTTTTTTCCATCAGATCACTGTAAACAAACGAAGAGAGAGCTTGAATCATCAACAACACTGCAGAAGATAGGCACTTACCCTGACGCCGTTGTTGAGGAGCTCGGGAACGTTGACGTGGGTGGCAGCATCGTGTTCCATAGAGCCGAGGCTGGAGCTAGAGGAGTGGTAACTGTGCCGGAGGATTGACCCACTGTCGTAGCTCTGCCCGCTTAACCTGCCCAACACACACAACACTCTCTCACTGTTACCACCACATTGGTCTGCCCACATTAACCACCTCCTTCCTCTCCCTCCTCCTTCCCTTTTCTTCTTCTCACCAAAACCATCACATTCGTCTCAATAATACTCAAGGATTTATTCTCAATCTACTCATTTTACTCGTAATTACTCACAATTTATTCCATCTACATTATTATCCACTTTTACTCAACATGTCCTCATTTGTGCCGAGTATTAACATTATTATAAAATTATACTAAAGTTCACAAAATCCCAACCACAATATTATTCACTCAACTAATAATCTATGTATGTTCATTTGACTATTATTGTATAATCATTTGACTATTATTCTATGCCCATTTGACTATTATTCTATGCTCATTTGACTATTCTTGTATGCTCATATGACTATTCTTGTATGCTCATATGACTATTATTGTAGGCTCATTTGACTAAAAAGGTTATAATTTTTTTAATAATAGACAACACAGGTCAGATGAGGAGCAAATTTGACTCCCATTCCTTGATAGAGATTAGTTATTACTATTACAAAAAAGTGTTACTTTAGCAATTAATATTACTACTATTACTACTAATCGATTAATATTATTTCATATTACTTTTAGCATTGCCAACCGTGAGAAGAAAGACACAAAAATACTGATATGGTAGACATAGTACTTCACGTGTCTGTTAACAAGTGGAAATATACACAAAAAGTGGCGAGGGATATTATGGGAGGATAAAAGTGATAAAGAGGGAAGACCTTGAAGGAAGAGCGGTGGCCTTGGAGGAAGAAGGGAGGCCTTGGAGGGAGAAGGGAGGCCTTGGAGGGAGAAGGGAGGCTTTGGAGGAAGAGGGAAGGCCTTGGAGGAAGAGGGAAGGCCTTGGAGGAAGAGGGAAGGCCTTGGAGGGAGAGAGAAAGCTTTAGAGGAAAAGGGATGGCTTTGGAGGGGAGGGATGGCCTTGAAGGAAGAGGGGTGGCCTTCGAGGGACAGGGAAGACCCTGGAGAAAGAGGGATGGCCTTGAAGGGAGAGGGAAAACTTTGGAGGGAGAGGGATGGCCTTGGAGGGAGAGAGAAGGCCTTGGAGGGAGAGAGAAGGCCTTGGAGGAAGAGAAAGCTTTGGAGGAAGAGAAAGCTTTGGAGGGAGAGAGAAAGCTTTGGAGGAAGAGAGAAAGAAACTTTGGAGGGAAGAGGGATGGCCTTGGGGAGGGGGTGGCCTTGCAGATGGGGGATGGCCTTGGAGGGAGGGGTGGCCTTGCAGGAAGAGGATGGCCTTGGAGGAGGATGTGGTCTTGGAGGGGGAGGGATGGCCTTGGAGGGGGGAGGGATGGCCTTGGAGGGGAGAAGGAGAAACCTTGGAGGAAGGAAGGCCTTGGAGGGAGAGGAAGGCCTTGAGAGAAAGCTTTGGAGAAAAGAGGGATGGCTTTGGAGGGAGGGATGTGGCCTTGAGAAGGGGTGGCCTTCGAGGGACAGGGGAAGACCCTGGAGAAAGAGGATGGCCTTGAAGGAGAGAAGGAAAACTTTGGAGGGAGAGGGATGGCCTTGGAGGGAGAGGATGGCCTTGGAGGGGAGGGGTGGCCTTGGAGGGAGAGAAGGCCTTGGAGGGAAGAGAAAGCTTTGGAGGGAAGAGAGAAACTTTGGAGGAGAAAGAGAGGAAATCTTTGGAGGAAGAGGGATGGCCTTGGAGGGAGGGGTTGCCTTGAAGGAAGACGGATGGTCTTGGAGATGGCCTTGGAGGGGGAGGGATGGCCTTGGAGGGGAGGGATGGCCTTGGTGGGAAAGGGATGGCCTTGATGGGAGAGGGGTGGTCTTGGAGGGGGGGGGGAGGCCTTGCAGGAAGACTAAAGGTTATGAGGAAAGATCAAGCCCAGATGATGGAATTGAAAGAGGAAAAGGCGTGGACAAAGGAACCAAGAGATGGAAGAGGAAGCAACAGATGACAGGAAAGAAGAAAAACAGAAGCAGAACGAGGACGAAGAAGCAACAGGAAGAGGAGGGGGACGAAGGAGCAGCAACAGTAGGAATGCACAGGTGGGAAGCGGAGGAGCCACTGACTGACCTATGCTGGTGGGAGTGGGTGGTAGTGGAGGCTCGCCCTGAGTCGAGGGAGGTGGTTGAGTTGCGACATCCGCCAGACGACGCCGTTGACCCCGTCGTCGAGGAACCGCTACCAGACCCAGGACTCGACCGACCTGGTGACTGTGTGTAAAGGGAGAAGACACGAGATTAATCCCTTGAGTATTATAATTGTTTTGCATAAGATACCAACTTAGAGTACAACAACTATGGTTTCAAATACGATATAAACCCCTCAAGTACAACAACAATGGTTTCAAGTACTTAATTAAGAGTCCAAACTTAATTACAGTGGTGAGTTATCTTATTCAATTGGGTATTATCATACTTAGTTATTGTACTAAAAGGGGTAAATATAATGCTACCCGAGAAATTTTACTCAATACTGCCACGAATCTTACTACCATTGTCATAAATTTCACCTCGCAACCAAAGCCATAAGTTCCATTGAGAGAGATAAATAGAACTACCATAGTCATGAATCTTACCCTATTGCCATGAACCATAATTCTCACTACCGCAACTATAAACCTGACCACCATAGATCTTCCTCACTACCTGATATTTCTCACTACCATAAGCCTAACTACCATGAATCATCCTCACTACCAGAACTATATTTCTTACCATAATCCTAAACCTAACCGAACCCAGGCAAGAGGATAAGCAAATTCACCTAGATTAAACGATTCAGAGGAGGTTCACCTAAGGTCCTATGCCAACCAGGTAGACTCACCTGCACATCTATGCCTTGGTCCTCAAGGGAGGTTTGGTGCTGATAGGTGAGGTAGTAATTAGTGTCCTGCGGCAGGTGATGAGGTGACCCAGGTGACGTCTTGGGACACATAAGGTGGGCGAACTGCGGCATCTGTTGCTGCTGTGGGGGGAGAGTAAAACACATTAACAGGTATTTGACAGGTGGTGAGATTACAGGTGTGAAGATGATAGATCAGGACACGTGTTAAGATGATAGATCAGGATAGGTGTTAAGATGAAAGGAGCAGGATAGGTGTTGAGATAATGTGTTAAGAAAATAGGCGTGAGACAGGTTGAAATTACAGGTGCAAGACAGATGTTGAAATTATAGACGCAGGACAAGTGTTTGACCACCAACCCCGATATGATAGAGGTGTATAAATGGAAATCAGAACTAAACAAAGGTGATATGCTAGGGATGGGGTAAACCTGTCTCGGAATGGGGTGGCAACCCTGGCTGGGTCTCTAGAGGGTGCAGTTCAAAAGATATCGAAGTCTTTAAACTACTAGGGGAACATATGGGTACGGGGGTGGAGGAGACTGCAGTGGGAGCGGGTAAACAAAGTGAAAGATCACAGGGAAATAGTGTTAGGAATGATGGCAAAACTAAATTAGACAGGGAGTTTAAACCTAAACGCGGGAAAGGGAGGACTCAGAACACGAATAACTTAAATGTCTACTACGCGAACAGTAGAAGTATGAGAAACAAAATGGATGATATTAGGACCTTGGTATGTACCGAAAAAATTGATATAATAGCATTCACTGAAACATGGATCAACCTAGACTCATGTGAGTTACCTGTCGTATACCAAATTGCGGGTTACAAATTGTTCCATACCGATAGGCAGACCAGGAAAGGAGACGGAGTAGCGATCTATGTCAGGGATAATGTGAAGCGTGAAATAAATAAGGAAATAAAAACTGAGCGGAATACAGAAACAATTTGGATAGAATTAATCGACGGTAGGGAAAAATTAATCACAGGAGTAATATATAGACCTCCCAATCATGATAGAGTTAATGAGCGACTTATCTGGGATGAAATGCGCAGGGCATCCATACACAACAAAGTCTGTATAGTAGGCGACTTTAACCTTGGCCAAATAGATTAGACCGACCTTACGGGTAACTCGGAATCAGAGGATTTTCTCGAAACGATCCAGGACTGTTTCCTAAGTCAACATATAACCGAACCTACCCGGGGTAATAATATACTCGATTTAGTTCTGTCGAACAGAGAAAACCTCATTAGCAATGTCGAGGTAGGAAACGAGCTTCCAAACAGCGATCACAAAGAAATTAGATTCCAGTTAGATTTTCAGGGCAGACGTAAGGAAAATTCCACAAAAGTTCCAGATTTCAGAAGGGCTAACTTTGATAGTTTGAAGAGGCAGCTGAAGGAGGGGGTGTCGCGCTTGGGGGTGAACCTGACGGTTGAAGCCGACCTGATAAAGAGATCTGAGATTGCCAAGTTCCACGACAATTTAAAGAATGAGTAACTTAATGCACAAAGGCAGAACATACCATACAAAAAACTCAGATCAGACAACAACGACCCTAAACGGATAAATAATTATTTAAAGAACATTATTGGCCAAAGGAAGGCTATAGGTAGAAGGATAAATCGTGGCAAAATTTACCTCCGGGATTATTATAAGATATTGGTGAGTAGGGTTAAGACTGAGATAAGGAAAGCTAAGAGGGATAATGAGGTAAAGATAGCAAGGGAGGCAAAGACAAACCCCAAAGCATTCTACCAAATTTATCAAACTAAAACAAGAGAAAAGATTGGACCATACAGACAGATACCGGCGAGCTAACTGATAACGACGGAGAAATGAGCAATAATCTGAATAAATATTTTTCAACAGTTTTCACCACCGAAAATTTAAACATGATACCCGAGGCACCGACTCTGTTCACAGATAGTGAAGAAAACAAATTAAGTGAGTTAGTAGTGACTAGTAACGAGGTTAGTAAGCAAATAGACAAACTAAAACCTAATAAGTCACCTGGTCCCGATGAGATATTTGCCAGAGTATTTAAGGAATGTAAGGAAGAGCTTAGTATGCCCTTAGCAAAGTTGTTTACCATGTCCTTTAAAACAGGTGTAGTACCAGAGTCCTGGAGGATAGCGAATGTAATACCGATTTTCAAGAAGGGGGGATAGATCACTATCCTCTAACTACTGTCCAATCAGTCTAACATTAATAGTAGGCAAATTACTGGAAGCAATCATTTCTAACTCTATTCAAAATCACCTGGAGAAGCACCAATTGATCAATGATTCCCAGCATGGCTTCACAAGCGGGCGTTCATGTCTAACTAATCTATTAACATTCTTTTCATCAGTTTTCGAATCGGTGGACGAGAGCGCAGTGTGATGTGGTATATCTCTGACTTTAAAGCCTTCGACAGAGTCCCCAAGACTAATTATAGAAAGGTTGGAGCTCTTAACATCAAAAGGTAACATCCTTAAATGGATGCGTGGTTGAGGACAGAAACAGTGAGGTGAAGAGCATTAAACGGCACTTCTAGTCCCATTGGAGCAACGTCTAGAGTGCAGGGTTCCCCAAGGCTCAGTACTTGGACCATTATTATTTATTATATACATAAACGACATAGATATCGGCATAGACAGCAACATCAGTAAATTTGCTGATGACACTAAAATAGGACGTGTTATTAAATCTGACGAGGACTCTGCAAAACTACAGGAAGATCTAAACAAATTTTTCGAATGGTCTGAAAAATGGCAATGAAATTCAACATGGACAAATGTAAGGTACTCAGTATAGGCGATGTAAACGGGGAAACCAGATGAACAACGATGCCATTGAGAAATCCGACTGCGAGAGAGATTTAGGAGTAATGATATGTAGGAACCTTAAGCCAAGTAAACAGTGTGTTTTTGCTCGTAACAAGGCTAATAAAGTACTTGGGTTTATACAAAGGAGTGTTAGTTACAAGACTAGTGAGGTCATCTTACGATTATATCTTGCACTTGTGAGACCTCACCTGGATTACGCAGTTCAGTTTTGGTCACCGTATTACAGAATGGATATAGAATCCTTGGAAAGAATTCAGAGGAGAATGACAAGACTAATCCCGGGCATTAGGAACCTTGAGTACAGAGACAGGTTAAAGCATCTTAATTTGCACTCCCTCGAGAGACGTAGAGAGAGGGGCAATATGATCGAGGTGTATAAATGGAAGTCAGCACTAAGAAAGGTGACATAACAAAGTTACTATTCAAGCAGGAGCGAACTCGTAACAGTGGTTTTAAATGAGACAAATTTAGATGTAGGCGAGAAATAGGTAAACACTGGTTTGGAAACAGAGTAGTGGATGAATGGAACAAGTTACCAAACATCATCATTAACTCGAATACGCTGGATAGCTTCAAACATAGGTTGGATGGATATATGAGCGATAGGGGTTGGGTGTATATGGGACTGCCCAGTATGGGACAATAGGCCCGTTGCAGTTTCTTCCATTCTTATGTTCTTATTACCAGAAATTAAACCAAAAATTTATTATTTAACCAATATATAGTATAGCTTGATACCTTATAACAAAAAAATTTAACATTCTTATTTATAAGACTTGGATACAGTACATAGCCAAAGTGGACGCACAAGTCAGGGCAGGTAGACACAGGTAAGGGCAGGTGGGGCACACAGGTAAGGGCAGGTGGACACACAGGTAAGGGCAGGTGGGACACACAGGTAAGGGCAGGTGAGACACACAGGTGAGGGCAGAGGAGACACACAGGTGAGGGCAGGAGACACACAGGTGAGGGGTGGGACACACAGGTAAGCGGGCAAGGTGGGACACACAGGTAGGGCAGGTAGACACAGGTGGGGCAGGTGAGGACACAGGTAAGGGCAGGTGGACACACAGGTGGGCAGGTGGAGACACACAGGTGAGGGTAAGAGACACACAGGGAGGGCAGAGACACACAGGTGAGGGGGGTGGGGACACAGGTAGGGCAGGTGGGACACACAGGTGGGCGGGGCAGGTGAGACACACAGGTAAGGGCAGGTGGACACAGGTAAGGGCAGGTGGACACACAGGTAGGGCAGGTGAGACACACAGTAAGGGCAGGTGGAGACACAGGTGAGGGCAGGGGCAGGTAAGGGCAGGTGGACACACAGGTAAGGGCAGGTGAGACACAGGTGGGCGGGCAGGAGACACACAGGTAAGGGCAGGAGACACACAGGTGAGGGGGGTGGGACACACAGGCTAAGGGTGAAAATCAATAATATAGGGGGGCAGATGGGACATACTGCAAGGCAGGACATAAGGTATGGCAGGTGGGACACAGGTATGGCAGGCAGATCACAGGTAAGGATAGGGGACACAGGTGGGGCGGGCAGGTAGACAGGCAGACACAGGTAAGGGTAGGTGGGAAAGGTGGGCAGGTAGACACACAAGGGCAGACACACAGGTAAGGGCAGGTAGACAGGTAAGGGGTAGGTGGGACACACAGGTAAGGCAAGTAGACACACAGGTATGGGCAGGCAGACACACACACAGGTAAAGGCAGGTAGACACACAGGTAAGCAGACACACAGGTGCTGCAGGTAGACACACAGGTAAGGGTGAGGTGGGACACACAGGTAAGGGCAGTAGACACAGGTGGGGGGCAGGTGAACAATATAAGGGCAGGTGGGAACACACAGGTAAGGGCAGGTGGAGACACACAGGTGGGGCAGGTGAGACACACAGGTAGGGCAGATGGGACACACAGGTAAGGGCAGGTGGGACACACAGGTAAGGGCAGGTAGACACAGGTAAGGGCAGGTGTGGGACACAGGTAAGGGCAGGTAGACACAGGTAAGGGTAGGTGGGACACACAGGTAGGGAGGTAGACACAGGTAAGGGTAGGTGGGACACAGGTGGGGCAGGTAGACACACAGGTGGGGCAGGTAGACACACAGGTAGGGGCAGGTAGACACAGGTAGGGCAGGTGGGACACACAGGTAAGGGCAGGTAGACACACACAGGTAAGGCAGGTGAACACACAGATAAAGGCAGGTAGACACACAGGTAGGGCAGGTAGACACACAGGTAAGGGCAGGTGGGACACACAGGTAAGGAGCAGGTAGGAACACACAGGTGGGGCAGGTAGACACACAGGTTAAGTAGGTGGGACACACAGGTAGGGCAGGTAGACACACAGGTGAAGGGCAGGTAGACACACAGGTAAGGGTAGGTGGGACACAGGTAGGAGCAGGTAGACCACACAGGTAAGGGCAGGTGGGACACAGGTAAGGGAGGTGGGACACCAGGTAGGGCAGGTAGACACACAGGTAGGGCAGGTAGACACACAGGTAAGGGCAGGTAGTACACAGGTAAGGCAGGTAGACACACAGGTGGGGTAGGTGGGACACACAGGTAAGGGTAGGTGGGACACACAGGTAGGGCAGGTGGGCAACACACACAGGTGGGGCAGGTAGACACGAAGGTGGGGCAGGTAGACACACAGGTAAGGGTAGGTGGGACACACACAGGTAAGGGCAGAGCAGCACACAGGTAGGGCAGGTAGACACACAGGTAGGGCAGGTAGACACACAGGTAAGGGTGGAGTAGACAACACACAGGTAAGGGCAGGTGGAGCCTACAGGTAGGGGGCAGGTGAACACACAGGTAAGGCATATAGACACAGGTAGGGTAGGTGGGACACACACAGGTAAGGTAGGTAGACACACAGGTAGGGGCAGGTGAGCACACAGTGGGGAAGGTAGACACAGGTAAGGGTGGGTGGGACACACAGGCAAAGGTGAGTAGACACACAGGTAAAGGCAGGTAGACACACCTGCAGGTAAGTGGGTGGGACACACAGGTGAGGGGCAGGTAGCAGACACAGGTAGGGGGCAGGTGGGACACAGGTAAGGGTAGAGTGGGGACACACAGGTAAGGTAGGTAGACACACAGGTAAGGCAGGTGGAGCACAGGTAGGGGTGCAGGTGGGACACAGGTAGGGTAGGTGGGACACAGGTAAGGAGGTGGGACACAGGTAAGAGGTGGGAGTGGGACACACAGGTGGGAGCAGGTGGGCCACACAGGTGGGGCAAGTGAGACACAGGTGGGAGTGGGAGGTGGGACACACGGAGGTAAGGGTGGGTGGGACACAGGTAGGGGCAGGGTACACACAGGTGGGGGCAGGTAGACACACACAGGTAAAGGCAGGTAGACACACAGGTGGGGTGGGTGGGACACACAGGTAAAGGCAGGTGGGCACACAGGTAGGGGCAGGTAGACACACAGTAGAGGTGGGTGGGACACACAGGTAGGGTAGGTGGGACACAGGTGAGAGGTGGGACCACGAGGGCCAGAAGGAACATAGGTAATAACACTATACCTGGTGAGGCGCAGCAGGAAAGGTAAACTGCTGGTTGTGGTAGTGCGAGGGAGTTGTTGTTGTTGTTGTTGTTGTTGTTGTTTTTGCTGTTGTTGTTGTGGCGGTACTAGCTGGTTATTCCTGCCGCCTCCGCCTCCCACCACCAACGCCTCCGCCGCCGCGAGTCGCCTAGCCCGTATCGCCACCACCTGTAATACAAATACAAAATATACATAAAACTACACAAAACAAACAAACGTCATAAAATCATAAACAATAAATAAGAACATGAGAATATTTATCTACATACTAAATCTTTATATAAGCACAAATTCCACAAAACAGAGAGAGAGAGTTAAAAACAACTCCGTGAAACTCGATACAGACAAGGTAGGTTTAATTGGTGACCATAACATATATCTTGGCCAGACGGAATATATGATGCCGGGTGAGTGTAGTGTAGGTACTGAAGGGGAGGAAGGAAGGAAGGAAGGAAGGAAGGAAGGAAGGAATGGAGATAGGTGGAGAGAAACAAAGACAAGAGGAGTAAACAAAAGTGTTGAGAGAGAAAAAAGAAGTGAGAAGAGGATGAAGTAATTGGGGAGAAGAGACGTGTGAGGGTGCAGGATGGTGGGCAGACAGGAGGAGGGTAGGAGAGCATGTAGGAGGAAGGGGGCATGCAGGAGGAAGGGGGAGCATGGAGGAGGAAGGGGGGGCATGGAGGAGGAAGAGGGAGCATGGAGGAGGAAGGAGGGGAGCATGGAGGAGGAAGAGGGGGAGCATGGAGGAGGAAGAGGGGGGCATGGGAGAGGGGGAGCATGCAGGAGGAAGGGGGGGCATGCAGGAGGAGAGGGGGAGCATGGAGGAGGAAGAGGGGCATGTAGGAGGAGGGGGAGCATGGAGGAGGAAGAGGGGGCATGGGAGGAGAGGGGGAGCATGGAGGGAGGAAGAGGGGGCATGGAGGAGGAAGGGGGCATGGAGGAGGAAGGGGGAGCATGGAGGGGGAAGAGGGGAGCATGGAGGAGGAAGAGGGAGCATGGAGGGGGAGGGAAGAGGGGGCATGTAGGGAGGAAGAGGAGCATGTAGGAGGAAGGGGGAGCATGCAGGAGGAGGAGAGGGGGAGCATGCAGGGAGGAGCATGCAGGAGGGAGGAGGAGCATGCAGGAGGAGGAAGGGGAGCATGCAGGAGGGAGGAAGGGGAGCATGCAGGAGGAGGGAGGAAGGGGGAGCATGCAGGAGGGAGGAAGGGGAGCAGCTGGGGGAGGAGGAAGGGGGCTGGGAGGGAGGAAGGGAGCATGCAGGAGGAAGGGGGGCATGCAGGAGGAAGGGGGAGCATGCAGGAGGAAGGAAGAGGGTAGGAAACATGCTGGAGGAGGGAGGTAGTTCCCCGTTGTAGGGAGGAGGTGAGTTGTATCAGTCGCCCATAATCACATCAGGTCATCCTTCATTATTATGACAGCTACCTTCGTCCCCCGCCCACGCCCACCCTCCCAAACCAAACCCACCATGACTATAGCAAGCTCCACCCCTACCCCCCCTCGGCCCACGCCCACCTCCCAAACCAAACCCACCATGACTATACCAACCCACCTCCCGCCACGCCACCTCCCAACCCACGCCCACTCACATCCACAGTCCCAAAACACAATCACCTCCAATTCACACCCACGTCCACCTACCAACCCACGCCCACCCACCCCCAAAAACCATGAAGGTATCGGCCGAGGCTGTAAACCAGTAGACAGGACCGATGGTATCACTAGCCTGGGGACAAAATACAAGGCTGAAGAGGTGCATGACGCCTGACGATACCACAACCTTCGCCTCTCTGACAACGTGTAATAAGGTCTCATCCCGGTGGTTCAGAGGGTCGACACGCTACCCTGGACCGCTAGAACACCGACCTTGTGTTCTGTTCGTGAGATCGACATATAAGGTTCAAATATATTCACTGGGGACAAGTTGTGTAGGTGTTAATTTCGGCTTGTGGTGCAGTGTGAGGTAGCAGCCGAGGGAAGGAAGGGAGGGAGGGAGGAGGGAGGGGGAGGAAGGAAGGAAGGAAGGAAGGAAGGAAGGAAGGAAGGAAGGAAGGAAGGAAGGAAGGAAGGAAGGAAGGAAGGAAGGAGGAAGGGAGGGAAGGAGGAAGGGAGGAAATTATTCTTGGGTCTAGCTGTGGATTAGACAACTTAGCTTATGTCATCTTCACAACCCTAACAATATTTTGAGGTGTTAGGTTATATGAGGTTAGATTAGTAAGGTTAATATTAGTGTGAAATAATCCGGGGTGTCTCTAATCTCCAAGTAATCCAATGTTTTGTTTTTTTCTCCCTACCATCACTCCAACCTTCCTATACTAATATATTTACATACATTGACGAACAAGACAACTAACAACCAACTAAGGAGGAAAGTGGTCTATTATAGTCTTATTTGGTTTAAAGAACTATATGCAAATCAGATTCTTCCTCCCCCAGCCTACCACCCACAGTTTGATAGGCCCCTCTTCCACTACCCTCCTACAGGCTAAGGTCTATAAGCATCACCTGAAGATTAGACATTCTGAACCTTATTTCACCTGGGGGTAGGATAGGGGGGAAGGGGGTCTGGGTAGCAGGAGGATGTATGTATGAATGTATATATATGTAATGTATGTATGACAAACATTCCCTTTTGTACACAAGAATGAATACACACACACACAGAGAACCTTGCTGGTCAGATTACTCCACGAAGCTTCTTAATTACCTTAAATTACCTCCACCCAGGTAATTATAACGAGCGAGGGGGTAAGTATTATAAATTACGGATCACCTGAAGATTAGCCACCCTGCTTAATTCAATTTAAAATTAACTAACCTAACCTCATCTAACCCCCTCCCAAGGCTCTCCTCTCTTCCTGACCTCTTCCCTCTCCTAGACGCGGCCTCTTCCTGACCCTCTATAGACGAGAAACTCCTCCTCCTCCTCCTCCTCCTCCCTGGCTGGTCGTGATGTCCCCCACTGCTCTTCCTCGTTAACTCACCAGTGTTGTGGGGACGAAGGGGGAGGCATGATAGATGAGGAGGAAGGAGGAGACATGATGGAAGGAGGAGGCATGATAGATGGGGAGGAAGGGGAGGAGGCATGATGGATGGGGAGGAAGGGAGGAGGCATGATGGATGGGGAGGAAGGAGGAGGCATGATAGATGGGAGGAAGGAGGAGGCATGATAGATGGGGAGAAAGGGGAGGAGGCATGATAGATGGGGAGGAAGGAGGAGGCATGATAGATGGGGAGGAAGGAGGAGGCTGATAGATGGGAGGAAGGGAGGAGGCATGATAGATGGGGAGAAGGGGAGGAGGCATGATAGATGGGGAGGAAGGGGAGGAGGCATGATAGATGGAAAAAGGCATAATGCTCTTGCTGTTATTATTTCTGGTTTACTATGTATCAATTACGCTAGCTAAATAAACCATTGCAATAACGGGTGCAATAACTGGTTTACGAACGCGGCAGAAAGAAAGGAAGTGTGGAGGGTGGGGAGCAAGCGTTGAAATCACCACCAGTAGCAACAGGTACTGAGGTAGAGAGAGATGAAAGGCATCAATCTCTACCAACACATCCCACACACCTTTACTGTACCTGTGTATAACTACGGCATGTTCTCTCCAATATAACCCACTAAAAAAAACCACGACAAACTACACAACCCGACAGACACACCATCAAAGTGAGGAGAACCTGACATATAACCCCCCTACTCGACACTTGTGGCAGGAGGCGTTGTTGGTCGAGCACACAACACTACTCGACCTTATTGTAATGCTGAGGGCGTGGACGGGCGCGGGGTGGTTGGGAGGAAGGGGAGAGGAAGCAGGCAGGCGTCCACGGCGGGCCAGACACCAGCAGCAGGCAAAGTAATGAGACAGGTAAGTCTCTCCTCTGAATAGCGAATGAGATGCATTAGTGGGTAAAATACTGTGGGGAGATTAAACCACGCGAGGGTGATTAAGGATACCTTAAGATTAGTCCCACGCTAACCTAACTAAACTTATTCTACCTTAACCTAACCCACCAGGTAGTGATAAGGTGTTTAATCGACAGGTATAATGAGCTGGGAAGAGGCATAATGATCAGGTGTGTTTCATAAACTAACAGAGCTACCAGCAAGACATTATACCCTTACCTACTCCCTATCCTCTATCCCCCTCCATCCTCCCGACCCCCACCAGGGATCACAAATGACTGATCGTGTAGAGTCTGTAGACACAACCCGCAAGGGGGGGACGCAGGAGGCCGAGTTGTTGGAACATATCGACCACACACCACGCTCCCTCAACAACATGGTCAAGGGATAAGTGGTAGTCAACTCGTATCATAAATTAAAAAAGAGAGGCGTCAAATACTGGATATCTGGCGAACGTTAGTCTGGCGTTAATTTCCTTGAGTGGGGGGTCAAGTGTGGAGTGGTAGTGTTAGCCAGGTAATGGAGGGGTAGAGGAATATTTGTGCTGTATGGGGTAGTGTTTATGTAGGTAAGAGTCATTGTTACGACACACACATAGACGACATGGAGGAGGCCCGGGTTGTCAAGGGTCCTCCTCCTCATACTTAGTGGAACAGGAGAACAGGTGTGTGGTAGAGGCAAGGTCATACACCCCCCCACCCCCGTCAGACGCCCCTCCACACACCTAGGAGAGTAAGAACACGCCCAGATAAGGATAACTACAAGACTGAACGCGTCAAGGACCTGTTGTTGACCAAAACCCCACACTAACTCTATGGTCAACAAGACAAAGTTTAAGATGAGAGCGACGATGAGGAACAAGAAGCATGTTCCTTAACCTCAGTCTCGACTCAACACAAGAGGTGCAAGATTTAGTCACTTATACGGAAACAAAAAAAACTCGACTTACAACCCTTCAAACTATCCCAATTACGTCTGTCTCTTTCTGTCTGTCTATCTGTCTATCTGTCTGTCTTAAATTCACCGTCGCAGAGGAAACTAAATTGGATATATTGTTATAACTGTGTGACGGACGGAGAAACAGTGTTGATAGTTTGTGATCGGCAGTGTGATATGTGGCGCCCTGTACGAGGTTGTTATGCTGACGTAGGTGAAGGCGGGGGTGTGTG